TGCCATTTTTTAAATAGTCCATGCAATCTCTTGCAGCATCTAACCATTTATTCTTAAGGCTTGGTCTTGTGCAGCTGGAATCAGCTCCTCAGTCTTTTTCTTCAATTTTCCTTCTCTAAGCCATCGCCAGTCTTGTTTATCTACTTTGTCTTTTTTTTAAAAAAAATATTGGCCATGTAATATTTTATCTTGCCAGGTTTCTCTTCTATCCCTCATTTGGTCTTTCTTGGAGGCTACTTGAGTTTCTCTGGTCATCAGTAAACCTTCATGGTATCATAGCTTCAGCACCGCTTCTTCACTGTCCTTCAGATAGTCTTCCAATGCACTTTTTTTCTTCTTCAACTGTCTGGTGTACTTGCAATATATTTTCCTTGGTACACAGAGACATTCAACATCACTGTATGAATGAAGGGGCATGACTCATTGTCTTTATTATTCTGATCTTTCTTTTAGTTCTGTTTGAATCCAGTCCACTATTCCATCTGTGCATTAATGACTGGAATTGCCGAGGTGTTAATTGATTTGATGATATTTCCTGGACTGAGTTTGGATTTTAAGATCTTCTTCATTCTAAACTTTCAGTGATGTCTGAAAAGATTGTTATTTGTGAGTGTGGTGGAGAAAAATTGAAGAAAGATCTGGCTACTGATCCGGTTAAAATGGATATAGCTCTAGTTAACAAACTCTGGAATCTGAGTTCTTGCTTGTAACATAGTTGGCTCTATCGAGAGCTACTTTCCTGTGGTGACTTTCTATCCTGCTGGGAGTGTGTATGAGAAACATATTGAGCAGGTCTTATCTATCTGAATTGCACCCTACCAGGAGGAAACGGCATTTAATTGTATCCCATGAATACAGCCTGTCTTTGCTACTAGTGGAAAAAGGATAAAGCTCTGATGGAACTAACACTTTGCTTTCAGCATTTTGTACCTCTTTTAATGTCTAGATTTTAATCCAGTTGACACTATTATTCCTCTAAAGTATTTAAGCTGAGCTGTCAAGCTTCTCTGTACTGAAAACATAACAGTTTGCTTTGGGATTTCATTCAATTAAAGAAAGGAAAACCAAGAATTCTTTCACTGGCCTAAAATGTTCTTAAGAAAACGTCAAAGATTGAATGCTGTTGGGAAACTAGTGATGAAGAAATGGAATTTAAATATTAAGATGCAGAGATTTGCCTTCTGATGAAATAAGATATTTGCATAATGACAAGAATATCTCTTTTGTGGAGAATTGCTGACTGGAAACTACAATTTAGGTACTGAGATGATCTTCAACCTTATTTGGCAATTGGAAATATGCTAATTTGGATGGCTGGTTGTCCATCATACTTTGAATGTTCAGAAGGAAAACCTCCCAGAAAGAATACACAAATAGTACAGTATAGTGGACGTGGGCAAAATCCCTTATTTGTATAGGTACAATAACAACTGCTTTTAATGGAGCTGCAATAGTTTAAATGAACTGGAAAACTGACCTCTAAACATGAATAAACAAGCTTAGTCTGTGTGAATATTTGAAAACTGCTTACTTGACCAAAAAAGGTCTACAGTGGCAAGGGTGTGAGAATCCATTACAACAATGCTGTATGCCCTCTTTGCTACTTTTGTAGTGCTTTCTAAATGTAATGCTCCTTGCACATATCTATGGCAGAGTAGGGCAAATTATTCCAATTCATTAGAGAAGAGCAAATTCATTTTGCTCAGCCCCGAAAATCCCTGGGTTACTTTAGGCAAATTAGTATCTCTCAGCTTAATCTACCTTGGAGGATTGTTGTAAGGTTAAATGCCATTTTGAGTTCTTTGTAAGGAGTACAGGATACAAATGAAACATATTTTGTTGAAATGCACAAGACATAATAGACTGCCGTTGGAGAATGCTATTGAACCTTTCAACTGGCTGATTATGAGGTGATGTCATTTTTGTGCAGAACTCACAAAACATAATTTTGGACTAAAATATGAGATCTTTCAATATTCTCAACATTTGTTTTGAAATATACAAGAAACTTATGGAACACATATTTAAACATAAAATAGACCAGAACATTTATGTATTGAATAATTGTTCTGCATAACACTGCTTATCATTAAAAGGAATAAATGTGATGGATAAAAATGCTTGTGTGTTCTTATTAAAATTCAGCCTTATTCTCAAATACCATAAATAACAGGTATTTTTATTTTACCATTAAAGATTTGTGCTAAATAAAGAATTGTGATCCAAATGATTAAAAATTCTTCCATGAAACCATAATCCTTTTTACAGAAACCTATATTCTTGTCTACATCTCTACTTTTCCATGCCCTAGAAAAGATAACAGTTTAAATGTGTTCTTGCACGCTAAATATGGGGCTTGCAAGTAATGGCACCCATCTGCAGTGCTGCACTGTTAAGTGTGTAGTAAGATTGGAGAGACAAGGATTCATTTCAAACCAATGGTCAACTATCAAAATTTACTTGTTGAAGAGTGATTTGGAACTAGTTACTCTTTCTCGGCTAAATGGATAGATGAGGAGAAAAAGTGTATACTACTCTGAAACAGGATATAAATCCAACAGTGTTAGCAACAAAATAATAATGTCACATGATACAGCCAATTGAACAAAGGCACTTTGACTGCATACAAAGAATGAAAGGGCCGAATTTTTTGCTTATGCTCATTCTTTCTTGCCCACTCTTTGCAGAATATTGAACCTACAGTATTTCTTCCCTGAAATAAATAGACTGGCACTTTTTAAAATACATGTTGGAGATTTGTGAATTGGCAATAATCTGCAGGGAAAGGAGAGTCATGTCTTTCCTTGCCATTGGAAGTCCACCAAAAATCACTCTAGTAATTTATGATTAAAATAGATGTTAAAGCACTTAAACCAGTGGTTCTCAACCTTTTTAATGCCGCGACCCCAACCGGTCGTAAGTCAAGGACTAAACCGGTTGTAAGTCAAGGACTAAACCGGTTGTAAGTCGAGGACTACCCAACCGGTCGTAAGTCGAGGACTTTCCCTGCCCGGGAGCGCCACGCATGCGTCGTTCCGCCCCCTGCGACGGCCGAGGCGTAGCTGGCAAGCGGCAGAGACGGAGCAGGCCGACCACCAGCTGGCCCAGCTCAAGGGAGGTAAGGCACCCGCCGGAAAAGGGGAAAAAAATGGCGGACAAAAAAAATGGTGGACAGCCTTGCTTGGCGACCCCCATGAAATGGTCGATCGACCCCAAATGGGGTCCCGACCCACAGGTTGAGAACCACTGACTTAAACTGTATCTTTGCATAAGTCAAAGTTTTTCCACTTTTTGTTCCATTTGCCTCTTGATGTTTTATTTTCATACCTTCGAACCTACTGGGATAGCTAGCTCTTCTGTACCACTGTTGTGCTGGCTTTTATGTATTCTGTCATATATAGTCTCCAGTGCGCATTTTTAAAACAGGAAAGGGTCGGTGTGTGCTGATCTGATTGCAATGAAACATGATCTTCATACAGGTGTAACCTATGGATCCTAAAGCACCAAAATGCTTTTAGGGGTCTTTTTACACGTTGCAAAGAGGACTGTAAATTTTCCTGCCCACCTTCAGAATCCTGGTCAGTTCTCTATGTTTAGCCTTATTATTTTGCAGACTAGGAAGTATGATAACATTGTGGATGAAGGTTGAAATATAATGTTGGCATATATTTTGTTTACCACTTTCCATTTTTTATACTTCAGGCTTAAGCCTGTTTGTAAGTTATTGCTTAAAAACTGGAAGTTTTAAAGAAGAGACTGGACAGTCATGAAATGGTATAGGGTTTCCTGCCTGAGCAGGGGGTTGGACTAGATGACCTCCAAGGTCCCTTCCAACTTTATTATTATTATTATTATTATTATTATTATTATTATTATTATTATTATTATTATCATCATCATCATCATCATCATCATCATCATCATCATCATCATCATCATCATCATCATCATCTTCCTTCATAGATTACTGCCTTGCTTTTGGGGCAATATAAAAAAAATCATATGGTGGAAAGAAAAAAATAGCCTTGGAATATTAAATGCATCAATATTTCCTTACAATATTAAATGTGTGTAGTAATTATTATTCCAATATGTGAAATCTTTTGGATTGTCTTATTCAAAGTTAGAAGGTCTCTCCCTCTCCCTCCTCCCCACTCTCTTTCTCTCTGAGTTCAAAGTGTTGGTTTCAGGTTTTCTTCTATTTAATGGGCTTTTACCAAAGGAATGAAATCATTTTGATGGGAGGTTATTAGGCTTTGATCAAATGCTTTCCTGCTTTTGGAACACCCTTATTTCATTCAGTATGTTTCATGTATGCCAGGGCCGCTTTATTTATCCACAATATATTTTGCTAACTGTCACAGTATTTATGCAAAGCTTATTAAAACGCAGCAACTTTCTCTCCCAGTAATTATGTCTTCTGTTCAATTCATCTGACCTCTAAGGCACCCACCGTATATGAAGTAATGATCTTTTGTTTCTGCTAAAAATATTTATTTAGTTCTCCTTCAGTTTATAAATTAATCTGGGTTGTCTCAGCATGTACATGCAACATGGCTCAATGTTCTGCCACTTCTTCCCTCTCAGCTTCTGCTGGGTAGATGAATAGAACCAAAGGGACAGGAGAACAAAGGAAAGATGCCCTGACCTAAAAAAAGAATGTTAATATTGAGATCACCATTACCACAATTTCCAGATACTTATCTTTGAAAAGAAGCCAATTGATGCATTTAATATTTGCCACTCCAGCTGATACTCATTTCATTGCTATTTTAATATACTATAAATAGTACTTTCTCCCACTCTTGGGCAGACTGCAGGCAGTTATTAATCACTATAAAATAGCTGTCTTTTATAAAGCCCTCTGCACATTTCTGCAAAAATAAAGCCCGCTATGCTCCCAGGTAAGCATTGTTTTGTGAATGCACTAAATGGATTTCCATCCCCAGCCGGAAAAAGGTGAAAGGAGCCAAATTTGATTTTTGCAACCTAATACCATCATGCCTATCTGTGCTCATTGTACCATCTGTTCTGATTTCTTTGACAATAAGACTGATGTTGCAGCTATTCACTGTGGACATACTTTCCACCATTTGTGTCTCATCCAGTGGTCTGATACTGCATCAAGTCGGACCTGTCCTCAGTGCAGAATCCAGGTTGGGAAAAGACACATAATCAGTGTAATGTATTAGCCACAACTGTTTTAAATCACTTGCTTAATGTCTGACCTACGTTGCTGTATTGTTTAACAGTTGCTGTACTGAAAGTCAGACTGGCTGTCTCCAAGCTGATAATGAGGTTTGGGCGGGTAACTGTTACTTTAAATCTATTGGTTGCCACCTAGAGGCTAACTGTATAAATAGCTGTGCAGCAGCCTTTAGGGCTGTTTCTGTTCTGAGTTAATAAACTTGTTGCTGTTCCAACACTCTGCTTCATTCAATGCCTAAAGAACCAAAGATATAACAGTGGCAACGAGGATGGGATGTGCTGCTTCATTGAGAGAGCGGGAAGTCATTAGGGGGTGAGGTCAGCACAGAGCCTGACAGGAACTACTTCCCCCCCTTGGTCTGCCAGCAAGCCACACTGGAGACCACCACACCCTAAGGATCCATCCTAGGGCCTACACAGAAGCCAGCAGCGCAAGGCATTGAATGAAGAAACAAACCACCATGGTGAAGGTTGGGAAGCTCGAAGAATTTAACGTAACTCACCCGGAGAGATGGGCATCCTACATCTCCCGTGCCAACCAGGTCGCCGAAGATGGATTGAAGGCCACGACACTCCTCTACATGTGCAGCCCTGTCACCTTCGACATTGCAGAGAATCTGGTCGCTCTGGTGCCACTTGAGTCGGTCACCTACGTGGACTTGAAAAAAAAGCTCCGAGACCACTTCGAGCCCAAGTTATCTGTTATAGCATGAAGGCACACTTTTGAGCAGCGGGAGCAACAATCCGGTGAGTCTGCAACAGAATTCATTGCCGCTCTTCGTCAATCGTCTGCAATTTTGCAGATCTGGAGGAGAGACTACGAGACCGCTTAGTCTGAGGACTCCGGAATTGAGAGCTCCAACAAAAACTGTTCGCTAAGGAGACTCTCTCGCTACAAGAGGCCTTGAAGGAGGTCATGGCGGATGAAGCCGCTGGAGGGGCTGTTAAAGCGCAGTGTGCCGTCCACCACGAGGCCGTCCACCACGAGGACACCAAGCAGATGAAAGACACCGACTCAGACTACGAAGTCGACCAGCTATGAAAGCACCTAGAGAAGGGACCGCAGCCAGCTGGGAAGGCAGTTCCGTTCCTTAGATGCATGGGCTTTGGAGGCCGCCATCAACACGCGGATTGCCGATTCCAAACTGCAACATGCCAGCCTGTGGCAAACCAGGCCGAGGTCATCAGACGGACTGCCCGAAAGAAGATGCATTCAGGAGAGGTACCGGGGCCCCAGGTCAACACCAAGTAGGGTTCTGCTCCAGCCAAAGGAGCGTATTTCGCACTGGTGCCCATCGCCCCCTAAAGCAGAAACTTAGACTACAGGTTAAGTTTCAGGGAGTTCCATGCAAGATGGAACTGGACACAGGCTCAGCCATGTCCATCATTTCACAAGGAATATTTAGGCACCTATGCCATCATAGCAACAGATGGGCCAAACTCCAGCCATCTAATCTACTACTCACAGACTTCCAAAACTCCCGAGTGGTGGTCAAAGGCGAAGCCACAATGCTGGTGGAATTCAAGGGGTTCAAGGGGCCACTAGAAGTCATAGTGATGGAAGGCCAATGCATGAACCTCATAGGGCTCAATGCACGAGCCTCATAGGGCTCGATGCACGAGTCTCATAGGGCTCGATGCACGAGTCTTATAGGGCTCGATGCACGAGTCTCTTAGGGTTCGATGCACGAGTCTCATAGGGCTCGATTGGTTTGATGCATTGGGCATTCAAGTAACCGGCATTCATCGAACACAAGCGGCAGATCTGTCTGCAGTCTGCCAAGAGTTCACAGATGTTTTCAGTTCTAGTCTAGGGGAGTACAAGGGTCCTCCGATCGCCCTCAAGCTTGATCCTATGCTAACTCCAATACGGATCAAGCCTCATAGAGTGCCTTTCGCGGTAAAACCCAAAATTGATGCAGAGCTGGATAAGCTAGTGGAACAAGGGATATTGCAGCCCGTAGACAGTGGGGTATGGGAGACCCCCATAGTAATGCCATTAAAGGCCAACGGGGAAGTGCGAATATGCCCTGACTATAAGTGCACCCACATCAGGGCACTTCAACAGCACGCGTACCCTGTGCCAGTTGTCAGCCATATTTTGGCATCATTGCAAGGAGGCCACGTGTTTGCCAAATTAGATTTGGCACACACATATCAACAACTGCCCGTGGACAAGGCCATGGCAGTAGCCCAGACCATTGTCACCCATAAGGTTTAAGGTTAAGTGCCTACAGTTCAGGGTGAGTGTACCCCAGGGCTGTTCCAGGGAGTGATGGAGCGCATGCTCAAGGGAATTCCAGGGGTTTGCCCCTAGTTTGATGGTGTCCTCATTGTTGGGGAATCGGTTGAGATTCTGGCTGAATGGTTTAAGGCCATCCTTCAGTGGTTCCGTGATGCGGGACTTAAACTAAAAAAAGAAAAGTGCAAGATTAGGGTAGAGTCAACCGAGTTCCTTGGTTTCTGCACCAATGCTGAAGGCATTCATCCGGCGGAATCCAAATTAAAATCAATCCAGCAGGCCCCAAGGCTGAAGTCAAAGGCAGAGTTTCAGGCTTCCCTAGGCCTTTTGAATTTTTACCATGCCTTCCTCCCAAACAAGGCCCAGTGGCAGAGCCATTACACCGGCTCTTAGATAGACAAGCTCAGTGGCAATAGACCAGTGTCCATGAGAGTAGCTTCCAAGCAGTCAAATCACTGCTGTCGTCGAACTCAGTTCTCACTCATTTCAATGAGCAGCTTCCTATCTGCATTGCATGTGATGCATCCCCATATGGGTCTGGGGCTGTGTTAAGCCATTTAATGGCTGATGGGAGGCAGAAGCCCATCGCATATTACTCTAGAACCCTATCGTCCGCAGAGCGCAACTATGTGCAAATTGACAAGGAGGCTCTGGCCATTGTGGCTGGAGTTAAAAAGTTACATGACTACTTGTACGGCTGCCAGTTCATGGTCTTCACGAACCACAAGCCACTTCTAGGGTTGTTCACCACAAACAAACAGACACCTCAGATTCTGTTTCCTCAAATGCTGAGGTAGTCTATCTTCCTGTCAGCCTACAGCTACAGGATGATTCACAAACTGGGCAAGGAAATGGGCCATGCAGACGGCCTGAGCAGGTTGCCCCTGCCACATGTGGAGCCAGCTCCAGCTCCAGCTGCACGCGTCCTGGCTATCCAGGATTTGCCGGAATCTCCCCTTCATGCTGGGGACATAGCCGCTGAGACAGCAGCTGACAAAATGCTGAGTCGTGTGCTAAACTGGGTACACACAGGATGGCTGGACAAATGTCCAGGGCCAGAATTTCAGAGTTTCTTCATGAGAAAAGATGAGCTTTCAGCTCATAAGGGGTACATTCTTTGGGGAAGTAGGGTCATAGTTCCGAGCTCTTTAAGGCACAGGGTCCTAGAGTCTCTGCACGAGGGTCATCCGAGAATAGTCCGGATGAAGGCACTTGCAAGGAGCTACCTTTGGTGGCCAGGGCTAGATAAAGCCATCGAGGCCTAAGTACATGGTTGCTACACATGCCAGCAATCCAGACCGGACATGCTGCAAGCCCCTGTCCACTGATGGGAGGACACACACACACCGCGGTCAAGAATCCACATCGATATTTTTCGGGGCGACACCTCTCATGGTCTAGGATAGATATGGCGTGGTTGTCAACAGATCTAAATTCAGAAGTGGAAGATGTTTTAATTGATACAAATTCGTGGGCTGATCACAATCCAATTAGAATCAAATGGAGAGGACAAAAAAAACCGAGGAGGTGGACTCTAAAAAGAGCAATTTTAAACCATAAAGAATTTA